GCCTCACCATGGACAGACACCAACCAACCTGGCTCACCCACCCCAGTCCCCACAGCCTGGCGTTACCTGAGCACACCACACCAGCATCCTCGCTGTGTTGGCAGTTGTGCTCTCCCCAGTCGTTCAGCTCACACTTGGTGAGGGCGGATTCAGACCCGTGGCAATGAACGTTGTCCAACCAAATGGGATCTGACCCTGGCCCGAAATAAGCTGAGCCTGGTGCTGACAGCGCCGTCCCGCAGCCCAACTCCCTGCATACGACGGCAGCATCGTGGATGTCCCAGGTGTCATCACACACAGTTCCCCACTTCTGATCATGGAAGACCTCACCCCAGGCAGCTGTTCGAGCCGTTCATGAGACGTAGTGGACTCTGCCTCGAGGCGTTGCTATCTGTGAAGGGAGCAGCAGGCACATTCGATCCTGACCATCATCCACGGCTCTGGTTGAGCTTTGGAGCACACTAAGCCATGGGAAAATCAGAAGACTGTTCCATGCAAGCAGCCTCTGGCTGCCTGGGGAAGGTGCTGCTCTGACAGGGCTTGGCTTTGGGATTTGCTTCTCGCTGGGTTGACTAAAGCTGGGTCACGGCTCCAGAGCTTGGGGCTTGGAGCCTGCAAAGAGTTCTGGGGTCAGCTGTGGGAGGGTCACTAGGGTCAGCAATGACTATAGGGGGTCCATGGGGTTGACAATGACTACTGGAAGGTCCTATGGTCAACATTGACTATGGAGGGGTCCTGGGCTCAACAATGACTATGGGAAGGTCCTGGGTTCAACAATTACTATGGGAGGGTTCCTGGGCCCAACAGTGAGGATGGGAGGTGGTGGGAGGTGGTAGGAGGTGTTGCCCAATGAATTTGTGTAGATGGAGCTATCAGAAAGGGGAGACATAAGAAAGGATTTTCTCTTCCTACACAAAACCATCCCAACAGTTCCCTGCAACGGGTTAACAGGGCAGAGCGTCAGCCACTGCTGTGGCATTCGTACCCTTCTCTCCATCCAACTGTATTTTTTTAAGCAGGGTGAGGTAAAGGCACGCATCCCCTGCTACTTGTGATGAGACTGAGCTGATCCCGCACCCTCAACCCACGCAGGACCAACACCGGCATCACCTGAGCACACCACGCCAGCATCTTCCCGGTGGTCACAGCTGCTGGAGCCCCACATGTTGGCCGGGCATTCGGAGAGGGCGGCTTCTGTCCCTGTGCAGTTCACCTCATCCAGCCAGATGCGACCAGACCCTTGCCCAAAATAAGCTGAGCCCGGGGCTGAGACGGCCGTCCCGCAGCCCAGCTGCCGGCAGACCACTGTCGCCTCGGCCAAGCTCCAGCTGTGGTCACAGACCGTCCCCCACTGACGGTGATGGAAAACCTCCACACGTCCCGCGCAGCGGCCGGGGGCGGTCTCCAGGCGCAGCCGGGGCCGGGGCCGTTCTCCAGGCGCAGACGAGCTGGTGTATTGGCAGCTGTGCCTGCGTGTCACACAAAGGGGAGCGTCAAATGAGGTGTCCCTCAAGGTGCTTCATAGAATCATAGAATGACCTAAGCTGGAAGGGACCTTAGAGATCATTTTAATCCAGCCTCCCTGCCACCAGAGAGGCCACCTCTTGACTAGATCAGGCAACACCTTGCCACCATGGTGAGACCCATGCTAGAGGATTGTCATCTTGTCACCATGGTGAGACTCATGCTAGAAGATGATCATCTTGCCACCATGGGCAACCTGCTCCAGGGCTTGCCAACCCTTTCAGGTAAGATGCCCTCCTTGGTGCCCACGTGAGCGTGCTTTTTGCGTGCTGCCCAAACAGCATCGTTTCCTTCCTGTTATCCCTGCTGCTCCTTATTTCCATGGACCTGAGTGCCAAAGAGTGTCAGCG